AAAACTAATGTCCATATGTAAACTATTTTTAAAAGTTTTTAAAATCTGATTAGGTAAAATTATTTTTAAATAAAATTTTATTTTATTTATTTTAATTTTGAATTATTTTTATATCTTACTAATTAATAGATTAAGTGAGAGAATATTATATTATATGGCTTATATAATTTGATAAGATATATTATAAATGATCTTGATTATGGTTATCGAATAATAGAAAGGAAATTCATTTATTTACGAAAGAATTTTTTTAGGATATGATGAGAGAATCTCTTAATTATTTATCCTACACCCTCAAGTCTTGACTATAAATAGACATAATACCTTAGAATCTTAATATAATAATATATGATAGCATATATGAGATTACAAGTCAAATGAAAAATAAAAAAAAAAGATAAGAATGAGAGTCTAATTTTCTTTAAAGATCCTTATTGCTACGAAGTGTACAAATCTGATTCTTGATTTATGGATATTTGATTTTATATTTTAATATTAAATATATTCTGCACGATAAGATAATTATGATCTATGCTTCTTCTACGTCGACAAGTCTGTGCAGCAGCATGCATCTAAAGCTGAGACGTAGTGCTGCTTCATCGCCTCATCTAACTATCGGCATAAGCTTTTCTCACGTATCCACAGAGATCATAATTCTAACATGTTATATAATCTTCAACCAACAACAGTTACTACACATCAAGAAGTGGAAAGAAAGATATCATGGGTTTCTGAGAAGGTACCGTTTGTGGTTCTTCCAAAAGGGTTCTGCTTGAGCAACGGAGGTCCTGCACTGTAGCCAGATGTATCCACTGCCTTTAGGATGCCGCTTGCTTTATATTAATCCACCCGTCGTCCATGAAATGTTTCAAAAACCATATCCGACTGCATCTGAAGGATATGGCTGTGCACAATGAAAGGCCAAAGAATAGTCGTCTTTCTTTATCGTCCATAGTATTTTCGTTTTTTGCAAATGCGTGACTCTTACGGAGTCCAGTCGTTGTTTATTTGTTTTAGTGAGTTCTCTGGGCCACACGAATTACTGTCTTTCCTGTTGATTTTTTTTCAAGCTAGAAAACGGACACCTGACTTGGAACATGCGTTGACCGACAAATATGACGCGTGCATTCTAACAGGAGGAAAGCTCAGAGCAATTGCCAAAGTCATTCGTGGCTGTGAAGAGGTCGTTCAACCGGTGGACGGAATCTCCATCCCGAGCCGGCGATCGATCAATATCAAAGATTTTTCTTTCATTTGTATCTGCTCAACTCGTCGAACATGATGCATAGGCATGGAAATTCCATTGGAATCAGTAGGGTCAAGTCATCAAACTTAACTATCATCCAAACCTATCGACCCAAGCCCGCGTTACGAGATGACTTCCTCTCAAAGACCTGCAGTGAAAGAAAGAAAACAAAGGCTGCTTACAGTGACTTCATCGGCATGGCATGTCTTGACTCGAAGAGTATGGCCATTAAAACTTGTGTTGTTTTCTGTGTGATGAGTTGGTTACCTTCTATCCGTGACGTTAATAATCCCAGCTGCACTTGGAAGTTACTACTTGGAAGTATGCCCTGCACTCGATTTCACCACCTTTTTTCTTCCGACCATCTGCCCCAGCCTCTTCAGCAATGCGTCATGGCGAGAAAGAAGGTAATGAATGGGGTCGAGGATCGAAACAGTTTCCTCGTTCGTGGACGATGGATCGAGGTGAACCTACCTACTGTTCTTCAGGTCACCATGAGATCAAAAATATGTAGCCACCATGAAGATCAAGAAAGCTCTGATGACGCCGTTAACGATAAGCAAACAAAAAGACAAATATCAAACGCCGTTGCCGGGGATCGAACCCGGGTCACCCGCGTGACAGGCGGGAATACTCACCACTATACTACAACGACTTGATTGATTTGTGTGGGAAGTTAATTCTATTTAATATAATTATAAATTCGTTTAATCATACTTTTAATTTTGGGTAAATGAAAAAGTTACCACTAATTTAGTCTTTATTACTGTCCTAATTAGGATTTAGCAACCAAATATTCTCCCTCGATGCACATAATAATATCACATTATAGAAATGCAAGAAAAATAATTTACTTTAACAACCAATACAATGAATGTTTGATTTCTACCGTGGAATACTACTTGTGCTGATTAATTAGTACTAAAAAAAAATAATGATTTCTGGTATACTTTCATCTTGCAAATGCATAATTGATACTTCTGAAGTGATTTTACTCTTATATATGTATTGTTTGAGCATAGGAATATACATTTGATGCGAGAGTTATGTTTGGTGCATCAAGCACAAGAATATATGTTAGATCACGAGGGCAACAAGAGCATATTGCACATTTTGCTTGGTAAGGGCACATCAAGCATGAGGAGAGTCATTGACTAAGAAGGATGTATCGTGCCAATTGCATGTTTTGCTTGGTAGCATGGGGAGATGAGATGCACTGGCTGGGAGTATCACATCGAGCGCATTGCACTTTTTGCCTAGTAATGACATGTCAAGCTAGAAGAGATGCATTGGTTGTGAGTGCCATGTGGGATGGATGCATAATGTTTAACCTAATTAAGGCACAACAAGCGTAAGGAGATGCATTGGCCATGAGTGCAACATCCGGTGTTTCACGTGCTTTACCTAGTTAGAGCGCATTGAGCATGGGGAGACACATCAGTCATAAAGGCCATCCCAAGTGTATCGAATGCCTTACCTGGTAATACAACATCGAACAATAGGAGATGCATTGTTGCGAGTCTCATGGCAAGAGTATTGCATGCTTTACACAATTAGAGCACATCTTGCACAATCAGACAATTGGCAGCATGGGTCGCATCAAGCGTATTGCATGATTAAGATATGTTGAGTGTGGAGGAGAAGCATTAGTTGTGAATCCTCCAAGTGCATCATACTTTTTGCTTGGTAAATGCATGTCATGTTGTTTGCCCAGTGAGAATTCATCGAATGTGTGGAGATGCATTGGCCACAAGTTCTACGGTCAGACACACCACACATTTTTCCTAGTTATGACAGAGCATTAGTAAATGTGTTCATTGTGAAGGCCTCGTCGAGCGCATAACATGCTTTGCTTGGTAAGGGAACATCGAGTGCAAGAGATATATCGTCTTCGAAGGTTGCATTAGGTGTATTGCATGCTTTATCCAATAATAGTGCATTAAGTATAAAAGGATACATTGGCTATGAGTATCATATTGGGCGTGTCACACATATACTGATCTGTATTAGGTTTGGGTTTGACAAATACTAACTTTTAGATGAAAGTTTTGTCAGTGGAGTAGTGCTTTTTACTGTAATAAACATAACTTAAAAAGAAAAATTATCCTACTCTTGTTGTGAATTTAAAATACCTAAAATAGAAAACTAAAATAAAAAGTTCTTGAGCGATCACTCAAAAATTCTCATGTGACGAGCACGAATAAATCACTCTCGGCAGAAAGGATGTTGCTAGTTCTCTCTTTCTTCCCTCCTCTCATCAATCAGACAACACTTCCTTTTGGCACTATTGAAGGGGTTGAATATGTTGAGTTTGCAATTGCATCTTAGATGTCAAGGACAAAGAGAAAGCTACTAGTTTTGTGACTGCTTTCTATTGTATAATTCTACGATAGGCTCGGTAGAATATGTTCTCGCTAACTTGGGCATTGCTCTACAGGGTTCTTCGCTATCAAGACCTTCTCTTGAGGGTTAGGAAGATGTAGAGGCCTTTGGCCTGCACGGGTTGGCAACCCGAAATAGGAATGCTAGTGGCTTGATTCTGGGCAATAGTGCTTCCTTAGCTTTCTCCTTTGGTTCTCTTCGTAGAGTTGACTCTAGATCTACTAGTGGTTAAGGGATCTTAGGAGGAAGGATCCTTGGTGGTAGAATTCCGTTATTGTAAGGCATCGATGGAAGGAAGAATGTCAGTTTCTCCTTTAAATCTAGCTTCTCGTGGGGTTAACTTTTTTTTTCTATCCCGAGAAGGCAATAATCTTCTTCTCATATAAACTATGATAGTGATATTGTGAAAAATAGGAAGAGAGAAGAATACGAGTCTAGTTCGTTTTGTATATCAATATCATTGTGATTTTCGAATCCGAAAACAATATCTTTATATATCAAATAAAATTTTTTAAATGACATCGAAAAATACGTATCATATTATTATTATCATTTAATTTTAATTTGATATTAAATTTTTTATAATAATATATTATGATTTTTTTATACTTACAATCTGTTGTTTGGTTGGGGCACATCTAAAGAGTACGAACGTGTGGACTGGGAAACCACGCCGAGCATATCACACACATAAGGATTTGTTGAACATAGAGAGTTGTGTTACTTGCGAAGGGCATATTATGCATGCCACACTTTACTCGGTTGTTGTAGCTCATCCTGCACGAGGAGTTGGGCCAAAAAGTTGCATATATTATTACATTTCAGATATATATTGCAATCCACAACGTAGTCTTGTAATTTCTATTTGGTGAAGTCATCAAGAACAGTGGGTAGAAATTGGGATCGTGAATGCTAACAACAGAGAGAACCTAAAATGTAATTAGTCTCAGATATGAGGGCTTGTATGCAAATAACCCTCTCACGAAGTGCACTGTCCAACTTACAATACAATTAATCCCAAAAACTAGGGCTTATGTGCAAAAAAGTACTCACAAAGTCCGCATTGTCCCACGTACGTATGGTAAGGAAAAAAGAACTATAATGCAATTAGTCAAAAGGAGAAGGGCCTACGTGAAAATAACTACCACAGATAAGAGGAGTAGCAGCTAGTATATAATTAGCCCAGAAGTCGAGGGCTTAAAAGAAAATACCATGTCAATCAAGAAGAGATTAATTTTGTTTAGCTACAATGACGATTACGAACCAATGGTGTTATGGCCCAAAGTGTAAACCCGTCACAGAGACCAAAACCAAGAAACAAACGGCGCTCTCACGTGAATCCATTACCCTCGGAGAGAATAAAGGAGATGCTGACGCTGGTGGGAACCCTGTTTGGGCCGGGCATCTTAGATGCACTCCGTTGCCCTCTGCAAGCTCCTCTATATCCGGCGTACGCAACTGCCCCTTCCTTCCTCCGGCACCCCAAACCCTAATCTTCTTTGATATCTTCTTCTTTAGTGTTGGATGGGTGGGATCGATCGGTTCTATGTTACCTTGCGTGCTGGGATGAGGCCGAGGGCCATCTTCGTGAATCATTTCGTAGGACGACGACCTCAAGGCGGCGGTTGACAAGATGCTGCACAAGGCAATGGCCGTCAACCAGTACAGAAACTTCTGTCCGTCTCTTTATTTTGCCTGCCCCTTCTTGATTTCTTTATCCTGTTCGATTTGATCACCAGTTGGTGTTCTGAATCTGAAAACCTAATTTTAGGTGTTCAAGAAGCATTCTTTCTGATCCCTCGCGTTGAAGGTTTGCGAGAAATGAGAGTTTGTGGAAGAATTGAGGGGAGAGGATGCCAAGTATCTACATGAGGTGGTACTGTTAAGGACCAAAGATTGAGATGGTCGCGCTATGTAATTGAAGATTGTGGATGTATTTTGATGTTCGAAGGATTCGATAACAAAATATATATTGCACACCTAAAAATTTGTAACATTGAGCACAGACATAGAAAATTAAAAGGAAATAACAATGACAATTGGGGAAGGAAGGATATATACTATATGAAAGAAAAGAATACTGAAATATCCTGCATAATTTCCTTTCTCTTTTGTTATTGTATGCCTAAGTTTCAGACAAAATTGTTTTTCACATTGTCTGACTCAGCACAGTTCAATATGGTAATGATTTAGAACTTGTTCATTTGATTCATAATGCTCATGAGGCTTCCTATTTTCTTGGTGGATGCTTGTGTAGCGCTTGATAGATGCTGATAATGGATAAACAAAATTGGATGCCTGCGCTCATCTTTTTGGTAAATGCTGATAAATCTTGCCAATCAACTTCTACCTTTATGTGTAAGCTTATCCATGTATACTTGCTTCAGTTCTTAAGGAGTCAAATTAATCAACTGTCATGCTCAATCGATACAGATTCAGCATATTAGTCGATCAAGGTCTTCTTAGTCTGTAGTTCTTGCAATTTTCTGGTTCATGTAGGAAAAATATTAATAGAACATATTCTTAAGTTGTTTTGGCATACTGTATCTGCAAATTTTTCATTACTTGTTAATCCATGCACCTTCTCCATCACATGGAATAGAAAAATCATCATTATAAAAGGAAAAAAAAATCAATCTGGATCGTGAATAGGGCTCAGTAATTGTTATTTCTGTAGGTTTATTCCATCATGAACTCTCAAGATTAATTGACATCTCTAGTACTTCTAATAAGTCATGTTGGTGCCATCTCTTTTCCTTTGTGATAGGACTGAAGTATCTTATAAGAGTACACCGATGATTATTTTGAGCTTTGTAACACTAGCTAATGTTATATACCATCTAAAAAATATGTGCAGGTCCAGACGCTTTAGTGACATGACATGTGATAATCTAAGAAAATGTTTACCAAGTTTAAAATAAGCAGAGACAAACACAAAGGGGTATTTCCATTTGGAAAAAAAAAAAAAGGCTGCACCCAATTTCTGGAAATCTGTGACTATTTTTGGGAAGTTATATTAAAATGAATTGTTTCTTGCAGATATGCTTATAAATCCAATTTGGTACAACCGTCTTTTAGTGGGACTTAAAACTCTTTTTTCCCTTTCTTCTTTATCACCAGCTGAAGATCACCATCATCATTATCCTTTCCCTTAAAAACAGTTGAATGGATGAAGCTGTCAAGCAGGTGTGAACAGTTATGATGATGTTGGTAGCTTTCATATTTTTAATTGAAATTACCTGTATATTGAGGTATTGCATGAAGGGAAGAAATTACCCTGTTTCTGCTCCAAAAACTTGTCTTAAAAATATGATTTGCATTGTGAAAAATTCAGCTTCCCAACGTCTATACAGTAATTAACAAAGTTTAGCATCATTCAGAAAATGCTTGTATGCCCCTTCGTAGAACTTTGGTGCATGAAATTGTTCACTAATATGGATCGTCATTGGTTAATTGATTATAAAACTGAATAACTCTAAATTTTCCCTCATTTGTCATAGAAAATGGTGGATGGCACTGATATCAACTTTAGAGAAGTATATATGTGAATATACCTATACAGACCACCAGCTAACAAATTATGTGAGATTGTTTGCTTTGTATGGCCTTTTGCCATTATGTTGTAATCCAAAGACAGGCATGTCTCTCAGCAACAGTTGTGCTGCAGGCAGAGTGCAATCTTCATGAAATACTATTTAGATCAAGTAAACTCATCCACTGATTCTTGGAAATATCTTGATTGGTTGGTTTTTGTGAATGAGTTGGTGGTTGTTAATCTGTCTACTTCTGTGCACCATCAACTGCAGATTGGCTTGTAAACATGCTACTTGCCCTTAGGATACAGGGAAACAATGTAATGTTTTACTTAGCTAAATTCAAAGATTTCATAGGTGTGAAGCAATATTTAATGTTCTTGTAAATTAATGATGTTTTGCTGTTCGACAAGAAGTTTTTCTCATTAGACAAACTTCTATCATTGCTCATTGAGGTTCTCTATTCTTCTTGCTCTTTTTTTTATCATGTTGCAGATGATGAAGTTTTGAGTAATACATCAGGTGCTTCATTGGTAATTTTTTGAGGCTTTTATAGGGGTTTATCTTTCCTACAAATTCATGATCACTAGTTCCCTAAATTTTTATGCCTACAATCATGAAGAGAAGTTATCTTTAACCAGGTGCAGTTCTGCATCATCTTCAGACATTATAATTGGATAGTAAACCTGCAAGGTGAATGTCTGTTCTTAGAAATTTGACTCTTTGAATACTCTAGGCATGTTGTTTTCTCCCAACATGATGACTCTGCTTTCATGTTAGCATTTGAATGAACATCTCTTCCATTCTTCACCTCCACTAGACCTGCTACATGGACACGACTGTACTATTATTAGTGATCATTTTCTCTGAGCTACCAATTGTGCCTAATGGTGGTTTTGTTCAAGTCAACCAACCAAACTAAGGCTTCGACACAACTAATCTGCCAGAATGCTTATACTGCAACTTTCTTTCCGGTGCTTACTCTCTGAATCTTCAGGGAAACGTGAAGCAGCTTATCAGAGACCTGGCGCGAACTAGGCCGCTCGGAAGGAGCCCTCCTGGTGCATTGCAAGGCCACATTGAGCACTTCAAACAGAGAGGCCTCCTCACGCGGTGCCACCGGCTTCAGAGCAGGATCCAGCAACTCCTCCCGCTCTGTCACCGTCATCGTCGTCGCAGTCCGAGACTGCACCCAGGTCACCATATTCACGTCTCCTCCGAACCTCCGATCTGTGGGCATTAACCCGCTAACGAGCTCCATGAGAACAATGCCCATGCTGTAGACGTCGCTCTTCTCCGTCGCCTTTGGGGAGTAAGCATATTCTGATAATGTTGCAGCGCTATAAGTTAATTTGATATGACAGTGAACAAACCACGGGTTTGATTACTTGTATGCAGCGTACCTGGAGCCATGTAGCCATAGGATCCGGCGAAGCAGGAGCCAGTCTCCGTGTACCGTGCCGAACCGTCCGGGTAATTCTCGGCGGCGACTGCCTTTGCCAGTCCAAAGTCGCCCAAATGCGCCTCCATGTCACCGTCGAGCAGCACATTGCTCGACTTGATATCCCTGTGAACTATCATTGGCACGCAGTCGTGGTGCAGGTACTCCACTCCTTTGGCAAGGCCGATCGCGATCTTCAACCTGGCCTCCCAGCTCAGCTCCCGCTTCCTCTTCTGGCTCACTGCAGGCTCGTGCAGCCAATTCCACAGGCTTCCATTCTCCATGTACTCGTATACCAGCAGATGCTCCCCCTGATTTCTGCTAAGGTAACCCAGTAGCTTGACCAAATGCCGGTGCCTGATCCGGCCAAGAATTTTCACCTCTCTCACGAAGCTCTTGTCTTGCAGCAAGGATTCCCTTTTGTCATGCAGAATCTTCTTCACGGCCACTGTCTCACCGGACGGCATTTCAACTCTGTAGACGGTGCCCGACCCGCCAGAACCGATGACGAACTCGTCGCTCAGGTTGCACGTCGCTTCCATGATAGCTTCCCATTTGAGTTCTCGCCTCGTGGATCCCTTCACGATCAGTTCTCGATGAATCTTGGAAGAGGAACCCTTGAAGGAGTATGCGCAATTGACCTCGCTTGATCTCTCTGCGCACCGCCTTCTGATCCATAACACAGCGGCTATCAGCAGGAGAATGATCACCAGCGTCACGGTGGCAGAGATCACGGCTACAGCAGCTGAGCTTAAGGTGGAACCTTCGCAGGCGGGACTGATAATGTTGCACGGCTGGAGGGGACTCCCGCAGAGACCAAGGTTCGCAGCGAAAGACTGCGGTGGCCAGCGGGCGAATCGGCCGTCCAATTGCCCCTCCAAATCGTTGCTCGAGAGATCGAGCACCACCAAGCTACTCATTTCACCTATTTGTCGCGGGACATCTCCGGTCAGAAAATTGTGCGAGAGGTTCAGATATTCGAGCTTCGCAAGCGACGCAAGCGATGACGGAATCTCGCCGCTGAGGTTGTTGAAGCTGAGGTCTAACGCACTCTGTAGTTCCTGCAGTCGTCCAAGCTCGACCAGGACCGGCCCGGTGAACAGATTCCTCGACAACCGGAGCTCATAAAGCTTGCTTAGCTGCGCTATGGAGGCAGGGATTGCTCCAGAGAACTGATTGTGGGCTAAGTCCAGGACATTGACGGATGTAAGTTTGCCAATTTCAGGAGGGAGTGAGCCACTGAGTGAGTTATCTGCGAGAGAGACCTTCAGTAGATTGGAGCAATTGAAGAGCTCAACAGGAAGAGGCCCAAAGAATCTGTTAGAAGAGAGTTTGAGCTCCCCCAGCTGCGGTATGCTCCCAAGCCACGTCGGGACGACTCCAGTTAGCCGATTATTGTTCAGAACAATGTGGGTGAGATTCTTGCATGCCGCCAGTTCCTTCGGTATTACTCCGGTCAGCAAGTTGCTCGACAAGTCCAGAAGCGAGAGAGCCCCGATTTCTCCGAGCATCGGCGGTATCTTGCCGGTCAGACGATTGTTCCCCAGCCGGATCCGCTCGAGCGCCGGTGAGTTTCCGAGTTGCGCTGGAATCTCCAGGTTGAAGGAATTGTTGGTGAGATCGAACGACAGAAGCGAGGTCGAGCCGCACAGCGGAAGGATGCTCCCGTTGAACCGGTTGTTGGACAGGTTCACTCTCGTGATGTTCCGGCAATCAAACATCTCATCGGGGATGCTTCCTTCGAGCGAGTTGTTGTACAGCATGAGCTGTTGGAGCGATTTCAGGAGCCCAAAAGTTGCCGGAATCCCGCCAGGGAGCCGGTTGTCGGCCAAGTCGAGGATCGTGAGCTGCCGGCAATTGCCCAGCGACGCGGGGATCTTGCTGGAGAGGTCGTTCTGCCTCAGATGCAGGAAACTGAGCTGCTCCAGCCTGCCGATAGTCGCCGGAATGCCGCCAGAGAACTGGTTACCGTAGAAATCGATCATTTTCAAGCTTGAACAGTTCCCGATGGCCGAGGGGATCTCGCCGGACAACTGGTTTTCATAGAGATAAAGGATCTGCAGTTGCTGCAACCTGCCAATCTCCTCCGGCAGCTGCCCTCGCAGCTCATTGTGATAGAGCGTCAGTATCTGAAGATTGCTGAGGTTGCCGAATTCGCGAAGAATCGAACCCGACAAGCTGTTATTGTTGAGCAGGAGATCAGTAAGGTCGACGAGCTCACCGAGTTCGACCGGGATTGCGCCAGTGAAGCTGTTGTTTGCCAAATCCAATTGCGTCAAGGACAGGCATTGGACCAAGCCGGCCGGAATTTGACCGGAGAACCTGTTGGTGGACAGGAACAAGTGCTGCAACCTAGTCGCATTTTGGCAGAGGTCCTCCGGCAGGCCGCCGGAGAGTTTGTTGTTGGACAAGACTAGATAATTGAGTTCACTCAGTTGGCCGAGCTCGGCGGGGAACTCGCCTTCGAGCTCGTTCATCGACAAGTCCAGATTTTGAAGGCCGACGAGCTTGCAGAGAGATCTCGGAATGGTCCCTTCAAGCCGGTTGGACATCATGTTGAGGTAGGTTAATTGGCTCAGCTTGCCGAGTTGACTCGGTATTTCTCCCTGCAGCAAGTTGTTGGCAAGGTTTAGGATCCGGAGATCAGCCAGATTGCCGAGCTCCGAGGGGATATGACCGTCGAGCTGGTTCTGTTGGAGGACTAAGTTCTGGAGATGTGTCAGCCGGCCGAGTCGACGCGGAATGGAGCCGGAGAGGTTGCAGAGGGCCAAGGCGAGAGTGGTCAGGTTCCGGAGGTCGCCGAACGAGTCCGGGATCGGTCCCGACAGGCCTGGGTTGTCGCCCAGCCGGATGACTCGAAGGCTGGAGAGCGAGCCGAGCGAAGAGGGAATCGTTCCCGAGAGACGGTTGGAGTAGAGGAAGAGAGTGGTCAGAGCGGAGAGCCCGGCGAGCTGGCTCGGGATGGTACCCGTGAACCGGTTGGAGGAGACATCGAGGGTGGCGAGTCGACTCAGCCGGCCGAGGGAGCGGGAGAGGGAGCCAGCCAGCGACGAGGAGGAGAGATTGAGAGCCACCACCGCCGAGTCCAGATCGCAGGTGACTCCATTCCAAGAGCAGTAGTCCGGGTTATCCCTTCTCCAGTCGTCGAGCACTCCTCGGGGGTCCTCCGTGAAAGATTTCCTCACCTCAAAAAGAACTTCCATGTACACCGAGTCCAAGTAGCGACAGAGAGCCGAAGGAGGCAGGAAAGAGATCACCACCAGTAGAACAACCAGCGTGATCCTCCGGTCCGTATCCATCTCTGTACTTTATCCGGTGTTGTCTGAAAAGAGGAAGGAGGAGAAGAACAGGATGAAGAGTCGGGTAGAGACGCCTGTTCGTTGCACTCATGCATGCATGGATGTATGAGAGCAGGGCTTTGGGCTGTGTGTGACTTGGGGAAATGGAGGGTTTAAAGAGAGAGAGAGAGAGAGAAGGGTCTTGTCAGGCAATCTCAGAAACCGCCATTAAATGATACAGCTCCAGTGCCCTTCTGGGACTTCTCACGAGGGTTGGCAAGCCGGAAGAGAGAGAGAGAGAGAGAGAGAGAGAGAGGAGTAGT